CTTGTCTTAATACATGGCGGGTATAAGGCTGCAGCTGATGATTCCTGCTCTTATCCAGACGAAGAGTTCTTTCTACGTTTGCATCTAAGGGATGAAACACCGACTGTTTCTTCACTTGTCCATTTAGTGTGTGCTTTGTAATAGTTATGCCTCCCTTCTACTATTTTTTCCCCTGCTGTAGCACTCATAGTAAAGTTCCTCATAAATAGCCAGCAAAACTTAATATTCGACTTTCGATGGTTCCCACTTTCAATGAGCATTGGAGAAACAATCAAATTTGCTGTTGTACTTTGAATTTTCAAAACGTTATTAAGGATTCAAAAAATAACGAAAGACCACGCCTGATGAGCAGGTTCTTAACACAGTCCGAACTAAAGGAAATATACGCATTGCCAGAATTCATCCCAAGGAGTCTCGATCTAACTAGCTACGATCGCGAATTTCTCAGGAAAGCAAGCCAAGTTAGTTACTTTTCACAATGTATAATATTAGATGATTAGTCTTGGACCGCATTAATTCTTTCAAAGAATTATTGTTGGATATGGTTAAGAAAGGCACAGATCATGAACAACAGAAATGCGAAAACAGCTGGAACATTGTTAAAAGTAGGCGCAGACAGTTGAGTTTAAATACTAAACTTGACTAGATCTACAGCGAAATAAGGAGGTACCACTTTGACTGAGAGCTGATTACACATGGAGTGATTCTTTATGAGGACCCAGGATATTCATCCCCATGTTGTAAATCCGGGCCATCACACTGTAGAAGCTAAAGAAGGCTGAGCAGCAGCCGGAGCCTTGCCATTTTGAGAAAGAATTTTTTCATTTCTCATTTTCAAATGCAGTTAAGGTTCACAGCGCTCGGTGGAACCAGAAGGATGTGGAGGATTGCCCGAGCTTCATCGATATTGCTAAATTTGCTCACTTAAAAAAACAGCCGTAATAAAATATTGGACATGAAATTCCACAGGTTTACATGCTTATACTATGCAGTTCTAAAACATCAAAATCAGAAAAAAAAAGTGCTTAGATTTCAAAAAAAAAAAAAAATCCTTGTACGTTGAAAAGCCAAGGGCAATTCCACAGATCGATCAAATTTTTGCTGCGTGACCTGGTTTGCAAAAAAAGCTGTCAAGTATAATAAACTGTGATTTCCCAGGATAACAGCAAAAAAATAACAATTAAGAAAAAATATGCAACGAAATAGGAACATTATGATACATACTAAAAATATAGGAAGTTGAAAAGGAATTTTTCGGCCCACTGAATTATATACATTCCAGTTCAGTACCACAACCGGACTTCGTCAGCACAAAGAAATT